TTTTATCGAAGAATATGTCAGCCCCATGACATACTGGCATCAAGTTGGCGCTACCAAGTTCCCTATTCTGTTCGTCGTCGCCCAACCTGTGTTCAGCGTTCCGACGTCACAAGCTTCATCAGAGCGCGTTTGGAGCATTTACGACTTCATCCTCACAAAGCGCCGAGCCCGACTGAGCCCCCCTCCACACACACGTGACAACGCTCGTGCAATCGTATATGAACGCGGACACTTCAACTGGAAGTCTGGTGAGCGTCATGACGGGAGAAGAAAGCGACGGAGGCGCCAGTAATAGTGATGAAGAGTCAAAGGAGTAAGCGAAACATATTTGCGTAATATATATTTTATTATTTGTTTGCACAAAGAATGTACAAATTTTACACTTAGGAAATAAATCCAATTCAACTAAATTCCCTGAAAAACATTTACAGTAACTAAATATTAATTACTAGTTGCGGACTTATTGATATGAATATTCGCATAATGTTAGGAATGCAATCGATAAATACCAATCTCATTTACACTAATCATTGCTGCCTTACCTATGTCAAACTTACCGGTTTTCAAATATTTCCCAAAACACAAATGCTTTTAGCCTAGACTACCAAGACAAAGGATAACCTGTGTACAATCTATCGACGAGCGCTCAGTTAACCCAGCCTCGGTCTATATCCCCGTTGCGGAACTTTGCCATCAAAGGAACCGAGGTGTGGGATGGAGAAGTCAGGCCTTAGCAGCCCCCGCGCCAATGCCCAGGTTTAAGACGAAGTTTTGTGTTGATGGAATACAATTGAAAAGTAAGCTCATGGTCAAGGTTCATTGGCAGCGTCTGGTCCCACGAAGACACGACCGTTGGAGTAGTCTTTGCATAGTGCACTATATACAGAGAGAACTTAAGTGAGCACAACAGCCTTAGAATTTCAAGAACGTCTGCATAGTTAATTCAAAAGATAATTTCCTAACCGTTGGGTGCAAACACCATACACAATACAGTATACTGAAGTGTATGATTCATACACAAACAGTATAGTAAATTTTACTACTAGTATACGTATACAAGCGCACCCTAGTGAGATCTGTAAATATATTCGCACAAGTGAAATGATTGGTTTATGAGGTATTATTAGTGTCACTCTATAGTTTGCACCGATGTGCAGCATGAAGGCGCGGCTGTGTTGCCGCCGTGTGCCAGCCAGGAATCATCTTTAATATATTAATATTATAATATATTGCAATACGTACAATTGATATATTGCTTATTTGAACAATCCAATATAATATAGTTATTATTATCAGGCTACAACAACCCATATATTGCCTGTATTGAAATCACCAATACAATATATCAAAAATATTATCAATACCAAAGGTCTTTGGCATTGATAAGACCTTTGACATTGATAATATCGTATTGTGAAAATAGTGTGAAGTCATATGCCAAATTCGTACTGGAAATACAGTTAGACAAACAATTGGGACTCTGTCGAGAAGGAGCACTTCGACCGTTCTTGCTTTGGCCTTTTTCGCCGTGGTTCAGTCCCTTACGGATAATATCCGGTCATCCCGAATTATCCGGCTGCCCAGTCATAGGTCAGCTAAGCAGTCCATTAATGATCACTTTTTGTTTTGTTGTCGACCACTCAAGCGTTCCTCGTCGTCGTCCCTCCTCAGTGCTACCACTTTTCTCATCCCTCTAGACAGGTTATGAGCCTCCTCCCATCCTCTGTGCAGCCCTTTGTGGGCATTTCTCCTCGACAACCTCCGGCCTCTGGCTTACACGCTCTCGAAGACGGACTCCTTGTCCCAAGCGACGTCCCGCGATCTTGCTTAGTTTGCTGTACTCTACGCAGGACTATGTCCCTCAAGGCAACCGCATTGATGCTCTCAACCTCAGTAAGCTAGATGAGAAAAGAGGTAGCACTGAGGAGGGGCGACGACGAGGAACGCTTGAGTGGTCGACAACAAAACCAAAAGTGATCATTAACGGACTGCTTAGCTGACCTATGATTGGGCAGGCTTCTACAGAAACTTAGGACCAGATAATTCTGGATGACCAGATATTATCCGTAAGAGACCGAGAAAGGCCAAAGTGCCCTTCTTGGGGTTTATGTGCAATTCACTCCCCTAAAAGTGAAAAATGTTTCAATTTCGTCACTAAAAATATCTCAAGTTTCAAAACAGTCACTTATTTTTGGACTACGGATAATTTAACAAACATGTTACTAAATCGTCTCTCAAGTCATGAAGCAGACAGACTACGTTTGTCCCCGCTGCAAAGCTTGCGTGTCATCTAAGAATGCGGCGCGACATTCCCGCTCGTCCCACTGTGTCACAGAGGAGCAGGCGGAGACACATGCATTGGCGCTCCTCGAAGCGCGGCGTCAACGCGACCGCGAAAGGAAGGCCGCTGCACGAGTAAAGACAACTCCACTATCTGTCCTATTTGCATAGAGTCTGTGAATCATCCAACACGCCCAACGGCATGTGTTCATGCGTGCTGCAAGGATTGTGTTGACGCACTTGTCGCCCATGCAGTTAGTGAGCGTAGACGTGCAAGATGTCCGCAATGTCGTACTGTAATGCAATTCCCTTAGGAAGTACGTATTGTGACTTACTATTAGTACTACTTAATTAAGAGAAATAGTACATCGCAGGAGGGCGAGAAATACTTACTCCCTCCGTCCCAAAATACTTGCGTAGTAGTGCGGAGGGGGGAAATGACTCGTCATTATATTTGCAAGTGATTTTCAAACTTGTCTGTCGTCTGCCCTTCGTTGAATTTCACGTGTTTCATTGGTCCATATGAACAAGCGCGCCAAGTCCTGTCAATTCATGTGTCAGCGAGGGAAAAATACACTAGAACCTTCACAGAAGTCGCTCGCAAAGTTCTCATACTTTAAATCATGACCAACATTCATAATGGGTGTCAAAAACGAACGAAGACCGCGAGGCCATCCTTCGGGAGATTCTGCTCCACAGCAGTAAGACCTCCTTCGCAAGATTGCCAAAGGGCATTGTGCAGGTGCTTGCCGAAAAGTACAACTGCCACCACTCTACCATCTGCCGCGTCTTTTTCTCAGGCAAAGCAGCAGGGAGTTGCTACCGGCAACATGAAAGTCTCGGTTTCGAGCAGCAAGAAGGGTCGTGTGGGTAGGAAGACGGCCTACACCCCAGAGCAGGTTAAGGCGAAGCTAGTGCGAGTACGCAAGTATTGTGGGACGGAGGGAGTAGTAAGTAACTTACTTCGCAGCTAGTACCTACTGTGTTAATAGTTCATTAGCGAACCATAATATCTACTAAATAAATCTTTCATACATACTATCAACTAACTACTTTCCGCGGACATCGAAGCCCTCATTTTCCGCAGACATCGAAGCCCTTACTTTCCGCGGACATTGACTGGAGTAGTTTGTCCCAAAGAGCATAACACATGCATATGAATACGTGTTAATGTACTTAGATGTCGATATCGAACATGTTGCTAGCTAGCCATATACCTTCTGTAATCTGCCATTGAGAAATTCCCATAATTTCATCCATGCTAAGAACGGACTTCTCTGCGCATGTTCTCTTGTTGTGTCCTGGCACTCCACAAGCGGTACGCACAGTCACTTTAGTTGCCTTCCCGCTCAATACATCTTCACCCTTGCTCGCAAAGCGCTTCTCCCTTGTACTCGAACCTTGGAGTGGCGGGAAGTGTCGCACCATCTGAAACACAGGTTGCAACGTCGATGGGGGAAATTCGGACGGATGTTGCAGCACGACATGATGCACACGGAGTGAACGTACTCAGCGATATCGAGCCGGCGAGTTAAAATAACAGCGTAGCCATGAACACACGGGTGCTGCTTTTCTTGCCACTGATTGCAACTGCACGTTCGCTTGTTGATGTTGACAGTGCGGTACTCATCGCAACTCAACCTGTTGAATTCGCACGATTCACCCAAATCCAGAACCTCACGGCGAAGGGTGCTATCCAACATATTCTTGAACGCAAGAAACACGCTAGAGCAAAGCAGGCTTACGTGGCTTGAGTAATTCCTTGACAAGCTTGGCAATCGAACATTTGTCTTCCTTGTAATTCGAACGAATGCAGCCAGATGCGCTGACGGACGTTCATTCTCAATGCAGCTGTTCATCGATTGGGTGTTACGATGCCAAAGCGGGCATTGGGAAATATGCCGAAATCCATGTGGACTTGTCGATGCCTTGGATACACTCTGCAATCTCTGGTCTGACGGCGCCAAGGTTTCGCAACAAAGTATCTGCTTCTTTCTTCAAGACACTTCTTGCGAACATGTGAACAGTGCCGTCTAGAACTGTACAAAACTTGCTGGCCACATTCCGCTTGATATGAGCAGTAAGAGTGGTGGGCCTTGGGAAATCCCCCAACATCAGCAGGAAAAAGCCCTTTGTCGCGGTCACTGACAATGACGTGACTTTCCCGCTCCAAAAGTGTAGGTAAGGCTTCCACGAGAGCGTTCAAGAACCAAATTCAATCGCTCTTGTTCTCTCGCTCGGACGAATTGCTGATAGCCATTCCCACAATAAGTACATCGAAGTTGCCAGTGAGCTTCGATGCCAGGTAACAATATGCCTCCGTATTTGCTCCGAATGTGACATACCCAGTGTTGCATCGATAGCAACACTGGGTATCATCTCGTCAGCGACGCTGTTGAATGCACCGTGTACAAGTGCACATCGATGAAACCGGATGTGGACTGTCTCAAATCGAGTGACTTCTTGCATATTGACAAGCAAATCTTGGAGGATCTTGAAACTTCATTTACCTTCTTCGTTTGACGCAGACAAAACTTTCTGTTTGGTACGCCAAGCTTGTATGCGATTTGCTGCAAGGCGATGGTCAACTCTTTAGTTCTTGATGATGACTTACCCATTGCTTGAAAGTTGAAGTGCCTCTTGAGCAACAGGTACCACGAACTCTGTTGGGTGCTCGTTTTCGAAGGGGTACTCTTGATGGTCGACACATTGGTCCTTCAGCCGTGTCAGGTTGTTGACAGGTAGGCGGAACGCAAATTTTCTTTCTGCAAAGGAGCGAGCAACTTCCGCCTTTAATGCGGCCATTGATGAAAAGGTCTCTCTTTGATTGAAGTCGTCGCGAAGACCTTCCGTTGGCATCTTATATCTTGCGCATGCACCGTTGACTTTTCTGTTTTGTTTGCTGGTGACTGGCTGCTTGATGGTGACGCTTTATCCGGATTGGTGACCGATTAGTACCATTGACAAGTTTTAGTAATCCTTTGGCATACTAGTGACGAAATAGTAATACTAGTATTGTACTTTTTTAGACTGTACCAATTAGTGACAACGCCGCCCTTCTTGATATTCTTCTTGCCTCTGGCATCCACCTCTTTTCCTACCGCTTGACAGAAATGTCACACTGTCCAGTGTTGAAGTACTCACCACCCAAGTCCCAGGGAGAATAACAGCACAGCAGCTCATTCGGCGAGTAATCTTTTTTACTTTGCGACAAGCGACAGTAGTACTACATAGTACTACCGGGTAGTTTAAAATGGTGACAATCCACAACAGGGCGATTTCGGAGATGACTTCTCTTTTTCTTTTTCCGTAAAAATGGAAAGTAGATTAAAAGCAAGGGGTTATATATCGTTGATTTCGGAGAAAATATTTTATCCCTATCCGTAGACTAGATGGAGCCAAAATCGTGGACTTCGTGGCTAAGCTGTGGCGCGGAGGCCGCCTAAGTTGCTTTTCATAGTTCCTACATGTGATGATGCACGGGATTCTACGTCACTATGCATAACATCACTATGCTCACTATGCATAGACATGGAGGTTGTCATTAACTTCTTCGCTCCCACCGCGCCTTTGATTGACCTCCACTTCATGTGGGCCATCCTCCACGCTCCATTCGAAGTGTCAACAAAAAAGCGTGCACCATTTCAACAGATCTGGCCAATCACGGTCGAGGATTCGAATCCCCAAAATGGACCCGTTTGAGGGATTCTGTTACTAAGTTCCGAAGTTTTCCTCAACTCTATAAAGCTTCAGAGGTTATTTAAAGGATTAAGATAAATACTCGTCTCCGAAATCTTTGGATTCTCATATGTCTTAAACGAATCATAATCCAAACTCAATTAACCGAAATCTCCCTCATAACGTGCGGCGACTTTAACATGATGACAGCATGATGACAACTAATACTACTGTACCTCTGACGTACTAATTCTCCGTACAGTGTACAGTACTTGATTGTTGTTGCCTCTCGTCTGTTCATCGCGACTGTGTTATGCTCGGACTTGCTTAACGGTAAGCTCAAACTAGTGTACCTGCAGTTCTTAACACCGGTAGTCTTGAATAACTTGTTTCATGAAAACACGAGACGTAGTACATCTTTGCATGATAACCCTAGACGGGAAAAAAGGCAGTGATAAACGGCGTTGGCGCTCATGCTGTCGTCTTTAAGTGCCTTGTCGTTCCTGTTGTTGATTTCCCACTCAGGAAAATAATGTTTGATTGGCTAAAGTATGGGATTTATGGCGCATCAAATCACGAGGTCGATGTATTGCCACTTCAAAGGGTCAATCAAACCTCCCCAAAACAGCAAATTTTACCGGATTTCACAATACTGTGCGTATTGTGCTTTTCACATATTTTGCCCGTTGTTTTAGCTCCTAAAACCATCCAAAGTTTAACCTAAACTGAAGTTGCACTCGGAGTAAAAGTAAGCTTCCCCACCGTTCTGTCATTGGCTGATCTAAAACTTGCGTTGTTTTACTAAAACTACTTCGCTTTATTAACTCCCGTGGCCAAGCAGTCATGCAGAGTAATGACCTACTGGGGTAAGCTCGCAGTGCACCAGCTCACACGAGCTTTGCAGCCAGCTTG